GAAGAGGCAAAAAAAAGAAAAAAAAAAAAGGTTCCCATTCTTCTAAACCTTAAAAACACAAAGCAAAGTCAACCAATCCAGTTGCTAACATACTTTCACATAGAACTCAGGGCCTGGATTGGTATTTCATGCTAGGTTTCCTGCTATATGCTGAAAACAATTTAGTTATTTACATTACTGAAAAGTCTACATAACAGACTGGGTTCTCTCCAGTGCTTCCATCAGCAGAAACCTTGCTATAAAAGGCGTGAGCAGCGGCGTCTGTGAATGGGAACATCAAAGACTCGCCTCCGCCTCCCCTCATCTTCTTCATCTGATTCATCCACATCTCCTGAATCATCATCTTCCTCTTCCTCTATATCTTCATAGTCAGCAGGACCCATCTCCTTGAAGGAAAGCACAATCTTTTGATCAAAAGAATTTCCATCTTTGTTTTTCATACTTACTATTTAATGTAAACTCTTACTTATCTAGAATCTCAACTGGATATACCGAACTGGACACATTTTCATAAACCCAAATAATGCATTTTCACATGCACAAGCTAATGTTAAGATCTAGAGTGAATTCTTTATCAAGTGTTTCATAATGTCCGGTATGGTTTTAATGGTAAATATAGTTCATTAATGCAGCGCTTATTTTTTTTTATAAAATAGGTGATGATTCATATAACAGACTACTTCTAACCAAAGAACATAAAATTTTACTTATCATGTCAATATTTTATACAATTCTTTAACAACCTCTATGCATAAAGAGGATGTGCACAGATAAGGTCAAGTATGACCTCTACTGGCAATTTTATGCAGTGTTTCTTAGCAAGAAGATTAACCAGTTTTTGAGCTCCTCCTATTAAACACCCCTCACTTAAATCTAACTAGTAATAGAGTACAACAGCAACAATGGCAATGCTTTTAACTCCTGTCTCCTAATAACATAGATCTAGATATCCATACTATCCGCCATGAAAATGTTGCCATATTTTTTATAGCTGAAAACACTTCAAATCTTAACCTACTCCAATTACATGAAATTTTAGCACAGACAAATGCATAAAGACAAGAGTAGACTAGTGATTACCAGGAGCTGAGGGGAGAGAGGAGTGGGGAGTGAATGTTTAAAATGGGGGGGAGTGAGAAGTAAAAAAAAAAAATAAGCAACTGACTACAGATGGGGAGTAGAGGTGGGGAAGAGCAAGTAAGAATTTTCAAGTGTAGAGTAAGAGAAAGGGATAGTTCTAGCAGAGAGACTTATAAGCAAAGGGAGAAGAAATAAAATCAAATATTAGAATAAAACAGGATTTTAAAAAGAGAAAAATTATAAAACAATCCTGGGCCACACTTCCAACTTTTTGGAATTTTTTCCCATTTCACGGCTAACTACATGTAAACTAGATTGTGTAATGAAAAAATAAAACAAAGTAAATATTTCTTTAGAGTAGATATTAACTAGGTGATTAAAATACAATTCATATAGGAACGCAGAATACTCAGACTAGTAAAAACAATTAAAAATTTAAGTCTTACAGTATCTCATTTACTTACTTAAAGCTTACTGTAAAGCTATCGTAAAACAAAATGTAAGAATAGGTATGGAGGTCAGTGCATATGCAGGGCAATAGGACCAAAGTAGACCCAGACATACATAATCAACTTACACAAATATACTGAAGTAATTTAAAGGGGGAAATGAGTGGTCTTTTCAAAACACACACACACAAAGGAACATGAAGGGGAGAGTGGACCTTAAGAAACCTACGAAATGCTACAGAAATCCAAACACAAACACCACAGGAGATTGTCTTTTTGACATTATGGTAGGTAAAGATACCTTGTTAGGCTATTAAAAACGTAAAAATGAGTATGTAAGACTTATCAAAATTAAAAACATGTATTCTTCAAAATATATCATTAATGAAAAAAAAAAACCCAAACAATATTCATACTGGAACAAAATATTCATAATATATATATTCGATAGAGGGTTTACATCTAGAATATTAAAAGAATTTAAGATGCCGTGAGATAACCCAATATTTTGAATGCACAAAGACTAGAGACATGGCACAGAAGGTAAT